AGAAAGAATTAATTGATGTAATTGTTTGTCTGATTTGAAGTGATGTATTCACAAAGTTATTTTTAAATACTATAAAGGTACTAGATATGTATTATGTTTTGAAGAAATTTTTGTTAAATGACAGCGATGTAATATGGCTCACTGAATAGAAATGAACCGAATATGGATAGTATCCAAGAAACGATAATGGAGTGAAGCCACCTATTTTAGTATATGGTAAATATAATTGTGAGGTCCTTGGGATAAAATAGATATAATATATAAACGAACAAAAACATAGGAGAACGAGGCACATACATCAAGATACTATACAAGATTAAAGTTTAAAATTTGCACTATATCTGCACTATGTCTTTTAATCAGACCTCTGAAACCACTTTTTGTGTTACCTATTAAGCGACAAATTTGACTGTGTCAATATGAAATAACGTAAATTTGACAGCTTTTATGCATTCTCTAAAAGAAGAAGATATTGCGTGATAATAGTTCATGTCCATATTTGTTTTTATATTTGGTGGTGCAGAAACACGTCTGCTTACCAAAGACGGTACGAATTAGAGCAACGATAATTTCATCTACTATAAAATGCCTTTATAGAAAGAAGGAGGAAACGCATTACTTAAAGCCACACATGAGCTGATAAGAAAGATATGGTTGAATAAACAGCTACCAAAGGAGTGGAATAGCGGCATTATTGTACCACTACATAAAAAAGGAAACCAGTTAGAATGTGAAAACTACCGTGGAATCACGCTGTTGAATGCGGCATACAAAATAATGTCCAACGTAATGTATGAAAGACTTAGACCATATGCTGAAAAAATAGTTGGCAAATACCAATGTGGCTTCTGTAGACAGAAGTCAACAATAGACCAGATATTTGTTCTGCGACAGATCCTTGAAAAAACAAGTGAATATAACATCGACACACATCATCTCTTCATAGACTTCGAAAGCGCATATGACAATATAAACCGAGAATTCCTAACAAAAGCAATGAAAGAATTTAATATACCAACACAGCTAATAGAATTGATAAAAGAAACACTAAAAGTAGAAAGTAAAATCCGGATACAAAACGAATTAACGGAAACAATAGATGTGAAAAAGGGACTACGCCAGGGAGACGCTCTATCATGCATATTATTCAACATCATACTTGAAAAAATAATAAGAGACACAACAGTTAATACCCGAGGAACAATAATTAATAAAAGCGTGCAAGTACTAGCATTTGCAGATGATGTTTATATAATCGCAAGATCAAGAAGAGAAATGATAGAGGCATTCACTCAAATAGAACGAGCTGCAAAAAATAGTGGTCTTAAAATCAATCAGACAAAAACAAAATATATGCCTGCAAATAAAAACGCACAAATAAGGCAGCTGCCAAATTTAACAATAGGAGAATACAACATTGAGGCGGTAAAAAACTTTACATACTTAGGATCCCTAGTTACGTCTGATAACAACGTTGCAGAGGAAGTGAAGAGGAGAATATTTATTGCCAATAAATGTTACCATGGCTTAATTAGGCAACTAAGATCAGATAACGTCTCCAGAAAAACAAAATGCCAAATATACAAAACCTTTAAGACCGGTACTCACATACGGTTCAGAAACCTGGACACTCTCTAAAAGGGAGGAAACGTTATTAGCCACCTTTGAAAGAAAAATCTTGCGACACATATATAAGGGCACAAAAGAAAACGGGATTTGGCGGAGAAGGTATAACTTTGAACTATACAACATATACCAGGATCCGGATATCATAACATTCATTAAAATAGGAAGGCTACGTTGGATTGGACATGTGGAAAGAATGGAAGAAGGCGAAATACCAAACAAAATATTCAAACAAGTGCCAGTAGGAAAAAGAACAAGAGGAAGACCGAAGCTGAGATACGTAGAACAAATAGAAAATGATATAACAACATTAAAAATTAAAAACTGAAAAAAAAAGCACGAAACAGGTCAGAATGGAGAAGAATCCTTGAACAGGCCAAGACCCAGAAAGGGTTGTCGAGCCAGTGATGATGATGATGATGATGATGATAAAATGCCTTTAACAGGCAAATGTGAATCGTGATAATTGCATAAAGGGCTTTCAGAAATAAAGATTATTCTTCAAACATGGGAAGAATAAACTAACGGTTGGGGTCGGGGTTGCAAACAGATGTTGATATTTGAGTAGAATTTGATGAGTACTTTTTTATGATTTTATTTTATAGACTGATCATAATAAAAGTCCATTAATTATTGTTCTTCTTCCTAGCATTGTTTTCTATTAATAAAACTTTATGGTTTTATACAAAAATATTATAAAAATTGTATTCGTAATGTAAATGCTAATATTCCATACATTTATAAGTTAAAACAGTAGAAAAACTTACAACTCTGCCGTCTTGTCTACGCCTATGTCCCCGATCCGGCGATGTAATAGTCATAGTGAGAAGAGACCTACTCCCCTAATGGATGGAGGTTGGTTTGGGGAAAATTGATCCTACAAAATTCCTAGTAATTTTGTTTATGTGTGACGTGTTGGGGACGTGGTTGAGCTTCCAAGAGATGCCAGGATAATCGAAATACGGCCCGAACGCGACATCCTATAGGATACACCGGCAAATAAAAAAGCATACCTTCTCACGCAAAGTTCGAAAGAAAATGCTTCTTTATTTTATTAGATGATAAAAGTATTGTTGAAGGTATTTTTAGATTTTTTAAGGTTTCAATAGGATTGTTTGTTTACTATAAATAAATCAATTACAACACATAGTAAACTTTATTTAATACAGTTTACTTTTTTCCATTCTAGAAATAGTAGGTAATATCTAGTATAAGTCCAGGATTAGTGAGAAGAACATCACATACGAATATGCACTCACCAAAACGGTCACGTTATATTGAAGCACGAAGTTTTTATAGTGACATAATAATTTTTTTCTGTAGTAAACTTCAAACAGCATAATACAACAAACAACACAAAGTGTTCGACAATGATGTATGTGACAATGTGATTTCAGAACGTTGGTTACCATCACAGCCATCTTAATTTTATTTACTGCCACCCTAAGTAGCATGCTTGTATCAACACCATACCAATCTCGCAAGTTCTTCAACCATGAGGGTCTTTTTTTGCCTGCTATTTTTCCTTGCATGATATTTTGTAGCAACCTATATTTGGGACCTCTCATTACATGTCCGAAATACTCTAGCTTTGAAACGTTGAAAAGCAGGGGTGACAAGGCATTCCTGCCGTACTCCTCTTTTAATATTGAGAGTCTGTGATTACACACTATCTACTAAAACTGATGTTGTTTGATTCCAATATAAATTTGCAATTATTCGAACATTTCTGCCGTCCAAGCCAATGTCTTTTAGAGCTTCGATCAATATCGAGTGCTTAACACGATCAAATGTCTTTTGGGAGTCAATAAAACAACAGTATATGTCTGCAGATACAGATATACTATCCCCAGTGTTGTTTAATATATATGTAGAAAATATCTTCAAGCAAACTTTAACCAACCCTTCTACTTCTTTTTCTTCTTCTTCTTCTTCCTCTTTATAAGCAATTATGCTTGTTCTTTGGCGGATTATTACCTCTATGGAAGATGTTAATCCATCTTTTGCATGGTCATCCGATACTTCTTCTACCGATTGGTAACTTATCTCTTGCTATTTTGACGACACGGTTCTCATCCATTCTTCTTATGTGGTTATTTCATTCTTTTTTTCTACCTTGGGGCTGTGTCGGGTCTTGTTTGTGAGGCACTCATTATTGGTCTTATACTGGCTTTATAAATTCTTGACTTCATCTCAGTGATAATGTGTCTGTTTCGCCATATAGTGTTATTAAGGCATCCTGCCAGTATATTTATTTTTGTACTTTATGTCTCACGTCTTTGTCCAGGTCTCCATAGTTAGACAGTGTAATTTCCAGGTATTTTATTTCCATTAATTGCTCAATACTGATTCAATACGTCATCAATTTCTATTTTACATATAGTTGGTTCTTTGCTGACTACTATTGTTTTAGTTTTCTGAGAAGAGATTGTCATATTAAATGCTTTTGCTCTTTCTTTGGGCTATCAATATTGCGTCGTCTGCGTAACAGAGTATCTTTATTTCTTTGTTTCCCATTTCTGTATCCTCTCCCTTTGTTAATGCTTTTGATGATTTCATCCATGATCAAATTAAAGATCATGGGGCTCAATAAATCCCCTTGTCTTATTCCGCTGCCTATTTCTATAGCTTGTGAAAGTTGTCCAACTATTCGGACTTCACACAATCAGACACAGAAAAAATCCAATTCAAAGAATAAAACTCGATGGAATATTCGTTTTAATTATTAATTTACGTTTTGTAAATGACACAACCGTTATGGATAACATACAGGACGTTCAGGAGGATTTAACCAAAATAAACGACATCGGCAGACATTACGACCTAAAAATCATCTAAAAATGGATGTCAAAATATAGATAGGAAAACAAAGAGAGACAAAGCGATAGAGCGTGATAAAGAGGAAGAGAGAGATGAAGTAAGACAGAGAGAGAGAGAGAGAGAAAGAGAGAGAAAGAGAGAGAGAGAGAAACAGAGAAGGAGAAAGCTCCTTTTGTTGTTATATTTTTTAATCACAAATATTCTTATATTCTTTATTATATAAAATTAGTCTCTTAGGTATAGTCGATTATCCAAAACATCAATCACTATTTCAATCAGTTGACTTTCATTTGCCTAAATGTAATAATTTTACGAGTGTATCAAAATAAATAAATCCCGATCCTAAACATCACCCCGATCATCGAAAACGCATAAAATAATTTGTTGATAAAAACAATCAAAACATCCCCGCACGTAGACAACCAATCATTCGTCGGCGTTTCCAATCGCTTCCAGTGTCGCGTAGCGTTAGGCGTCGCGAAACATTTGACAACACTTGACACTTTTTGGCTGGATGCGATGATGACGATGCTGAAGATTCGTTTTTGTTTCAGGTTCATCAACGCGCGGCGGAGAATCGTACAACCGATGATCGACCAATCGAATCGAGCAGGTAAGTGTGTAATATATATTTTGTTTGGTAGCAAGGGGGAAAAGGGTTTTATTATTACTCTGTTTTTTCAATTAACGTCGATTATTTACGATGGAAACGTTGGAAAATCATAAATCCGCTTTTGAATGCCATACTATAAGTCGATTGATTGATAGAAGTCTAATTTAGTCCCTGATTACTAGTTTAAATGCATTACAAATCGTAGAAAGTAGGGGCTAAAAATTTTAATTCTAGTTTAAGCTTGTATCAAATCAAATCGTGGCTCCAAGTTGCTTAGACACAAATGCAACTATATTTCATCTAATTTACTTACCATTGCACGTCATTATCATTGACAGAGATCGAAGTTGACATAGTTCCCAAAGTATAAAAAATCCTTAATCCATTTTAAATAAAATAGGTTACATAATTATTGCAAAAATACAACAAAACAAATTAATATTACATACACTAATAATAATAGTAATTAATAATACACACTAATTTTGTTGTAAAAAGAACAGATTTTATTAAATAGGTAAAAATATAAACCAAGAGGTATTCACTTAAAAATTCAAAATAATAAAGTACAAAAAGTGTCAACAGAGCAACTGTCAAATCAGTGGTACCAATTTATGCCAAAATATCACCTTCGTTTGATCGCTTACAGTGTGTTCCGAACATGTTCTTCATAAAAACACTATATTATGCATTTATACAAATTAAATGAAACATATTATTGTGTATTTCTTTAAGTTAACAATAATAGAAATCTTTAACTTGCCTAACGGGTAAGTTACTTTTGCTAAGCAAATATTTTATTCATAATCAGTTTTTTGTGTTTACAAAATCAAGATTGAACTAAAGCAGGATACAACGTGACGTCATCACTAATCTGGCATGTGACAGTTCTTTTTTACTTTGAGGTTAAAATTAAATATGATAGGTTGGAGGCATTAATTATGAAGTCACACTGCAGCATTGTACTTTTTAATGTATATATATATATATATATATATATATATATATATATATATATATATATATATATATATATATATATATATATTATATAACAGTTTGTTATTGCTTTTGTAAAATAATCAAACACAGTGGTAGTAGCTATCAAATTTTCTTGATCATTTTAAAAATAAATTAACATTTGAAATATCTGATTAATTACGTTTTAAACTAACATCAACATTATTTTTGGTTTTTAATCTGGTAAATGTCAAACATAACCTTAAAATTTAAAAAATGAGTGTTAAATTGTTTATTTAAATATTGTGAGTACTCGAAGGTAACAATCTGTTATCTGTTTACTACAAGCTGTCAAATTACTATTACGTTTTTTTTACCATGGATAAATTAGTATTAAAAATAAATTATTATGACTAAAATGTCCTATTTGTTTGTGTTTTAAAGACTTTGATTAGTATAGTAACCAATTCATTAACCAATAAACTCAAAATATTATAAAGAAACTATTATACATATATTGATATTGAAATAAAGAAAATACAGAATATATCTTCACCCATTATCGTCAGTGAAAAAACTTAAAACTTATTATTTATGTGTTTTGTGTATTTTGGGTTTATCTTTTTTATGACTTTTGGTTTGTGTTTCATTGGAAGTTCCCTCCAAGTTGGAAGTTCCGCTCCCAAGACAAATTTCTAGATCCGCCACTGAATTGTTACCAATTTGACGCGTTAATCATCTACGCGTCTTCTTGTACACCATCTCTTTACCACAGGGTGATATGTCTACCAATTTTCTACAGACACCGATATTCTGAAGGATATTTGTAACCGTATTAATTGGCTGGCCTGTATTTCGTCAGTGAAGTCATATTTTCTTCCCATTATTTTTCTGATTTTTTCATTTGTGGCCATATATCCTCTAAATTTTCCTGTGCCGGTATGCAGTAAATGATTCATACATTCCTCCAATGGTCATTTAAAAATAAAAAGTCACCAGGACCAGACGGAATAACCAACGAGCTTCTAAAACACAGAGGAGAAAATATAACTCTAGAGATGACAAAACTTATACAAAACCTAATATTGCACTGCAAGATACCAGACGCATGGAGAAACGGCAGAATAATACCAATGATCAAGAAAGAAAATGAGGAAGATCCCAACATTTAACTATAGAGGTATAAATCTACTGAACACCGCACTTAAGCTTACCAGATGAAAAACAAAGATTCAGATCCGGAAGATCCTGCATAGACGCCGTTTTTGTACTAAGACAAATAACAGAAAAGGCCATCGAGTGCAATAAATCAGCATATCTATGTTTATAGACCTGACAAAGCCTATGGATCGCATCCAAGTCGAAGACCTCTTACACCTACTGTATAAAAGAAACATACCAATCAATATTACAAACCGTATATTGTTCCCATACTTCCTTTATTTTGCTCTCTTCAGTATTCCTCCGTTATTATTTCTTGTTATGAGTGTTCTTCTTTGTCTGGTGTTGTCTGTAAGTTCTTTCATTTTTTTCATGTAAGTTTGAGGTGTCATGTTTGTTGCTAAAAGATAGTGCGATAATTTAAACAATTTAGGAGGCTAATATTGAAGAAGAAACAAACTTTAAAGCCTACATACAAGAAGGAAGAAGAAGAAAAAGTTTCTTCACGGCCACACTTTGCAATTATACATTGTTATATTTTTTACTATAGTTTTAACCATATCTATTTATTGTTTTTTCTATAAGACTCCATTTACCTTGTGTTTCCAACCGGGTACCCCGGTACCCATCCTCGTATGTTGAATAATGTTTTTCTAATATAATAATTCAGTAATAACCTCCCAAATCCTCATGATTTGACTAATTCTTCATAGATGTATGAGCTTACAGATTTATTTTAGTTATTTGAACCAAGCAAACTTTCGTCTTGAAAATAAAGAGATGTGTTCTCAGAATGTAAATCGAAACTTCAAACATTAGTTAGTTAAAAATCTGTTCTTCATTACAAACAATAATTATTGTAGCGTAATCAAATAAAACATAATATTTATTCATATAGTCAGTTAGAGTTGTTAATAAGTATTATTGGCTGTTTTGAATAACAGTAATTAGAAAGAAGTGTAACGATACATACCTATATAAAAAAATAAACCATAACCTAGTAAAAATGTGCCAAAATAATAACTAATGATAACTGTTGTTTTCTTGATATATTTCTCAAATGTACAAGAAATTACTCTTGGACTTTGACGGCCAAAATATTTATCAAACAAAATACTGATATAACAATATTCTATAACCTTCAGATTCTAATCAAGTAAATGGATGGCTTGAGTGAAATGATATTGAGCATTATGAGCTATTTTAAGTACTAACTGTTTCCAGCTGTATAGCCTTTTTTATGGAAAAACGAAACCATTCACCGCTAAGTAGAAAAACACATTACGGACTGATCATGATTCTTCACTCTTTATCCCTCTTTTCTACCCGCCATTGAGATATTTCTTTTTAGTTCTCAACGAACGCGGCACACAAGATTATTAATGGCTGTCGATGTCGATGTTAGAATGTTCTTTCTCTCGGCTATATCGATTTCGGAGGAGAGTTTTCTGTTCAGCCTGCCAGAGACAGAAGAAGAAAAATGGCGGCAGGCATTGACCCTCGCGGGCCGATCCATCACGCGGGCGGCACAATCGGGCTCCGGGTGACAGCCCCACGCTCCTCTTGGGGGAGACCCAAGATGAGAATTCTCTATTCCATTTTCTCGTTTTGCCAAAGATACCGAAACTCAAATACGGGATGTTTTCTTTTCAACTGACTTCAGCTTCTCTTTAATTCTCCTAAATATCTGTGTTTTTTATAATAACAATTAGAACAACAGAAACTATTGTCTTTACAGAAACTACACACTTTATTTTTATTTTCTTGTTCATCGAAATAAAAGATATAATATTTCTTTTTTTGTTGTTGCCATGCCAGGACGAATTTATTAATTTCCGTTCCGGAGATTAATTCTTACCTTTCTGTCTTCATGACACTCCGCTTATCCATCTAAACATTTATTTTTTGTTTTTTAACTGTGCAATGTTCAGTCCCATAAATTCTAGCCAGTTTTATATTAGTCTTAGAGTTACCTGTTAGATGTATTCATTTTTGTAAACAAAATATTACTCCGTTCCTTCTATTGCATCCTTCCTGCTCTATTTCTTCTGCATGAAACACCATCTACTTCCACATTATAAAATAATGTGCTTTTATATATTATATAAAAGCGCCCCTTAATACTTCAAAGTATTACTTTTCACATTTTTTCCTGTTCATAAAAGTAGGTCCTTACTATTTTTATGACATCTTTCAGTTTTTAATAGCTCTGCGTCATTATTTATTGACTTTTATAAATGTTGTGGTCCTTAAATGTATCTTTATTTCCTAGCTATTGCACCTGGAATAGATTAAAGACTATGGAAGTATGGAATACTATACACACTGTTGTCTGGCACATTTTTTTGTTCTGGTAATTTATTCTTTATTTGTGTTTTGACGTTCGGATTTAAATAAAAGGACTGTTGATTCTGATATCTTGTTCATCAATATATTTCCTCTTTAAGATATCAACCATTTGTCATATCTAATTTTCACCAATGCTTTTTCAAAATCAATAAATTATGTATGCATACACATGCACATCTTAATTAACGTATCTTCTTACGGTGCCTTATCCTTAAGGACGTTGGCCATTACATTTGCCCATTTAATCTTATTTGTAGCAGCCCTGAATAATTCTATGGAGGTCAAGTTCGTCCATTGCCGTAGGTTTTTAAGCCAAGAGTTGCGTCTTCTTCCTGGTCCTCTTTTGCTATTGGCTTTGCCTTGGATTATAAGTTGGAGCAGTTCATACTTTTGATTTCTTATTATGTGATCAAAATATTGTGTTTTCCGTTCTTTTATTATAAGGATAAGCTCTCTTTCCTTATTCATCCTCCGCAAGACTTCCGCATTTATCGTATGGCTCATGTAGGATATTCTGAGCATTTTACGGT